GTGTGTGTGTGTGTGTGCTGCAGGCCTCTGTCCAGCCCCGACAGGCCTGATATTCCTTGCTCTCTGTACATGAAGGAGCTGCAGGGTTTTATCTCCCGAGTCATGGCAGACTATTTCAGACACTTCCAGTGTGTGGACTTCATATTCGAGAGCACGGAGTCGATCGCCCAGAGAGCCATCGAGCTGTTCGTCCGCCACGGCAGCCTGCTGCGCCCGCTGGGGGAGGGGGGCAAGATGAGACTGGCTGCTGACTTTGCACAGGTAACGGAGATGCGTCTGTTTCTGCTCTTCGGCCTCGTTTCGCTCAGAGGCTGATTTTCATTTTGACTTGTGTTTACGCGTCAGATGGAGATGGCTGTGGCTCCTCTGTGCAGACGAGTGTCTGATTTAGGAAAACCCTACAGGATGCTGCGCTCCTTCAGGTGTGTTGGCTTCAATGAACAGTCGTCACAGTTAGATGGTGCACTTTGTTTTTTCATGTAAAGAATTACAGCCTAACAGGCAGTAACGGTGATGAATCATGTTAACAGTACTTTACCTACACGCCCTCGGTGCTGTCCTGATCCAGACACTGTGTGTTTATACTACATATCTACAGTACGTACTAGTTCCAGTTTGTTGTTTTTAATATTACATAAGAAACTGTTGACCTTCATGTTATTTTGGTGAAAGCTGAGAGTTTAGGCACAGCGAGTTATCGAAACTCCACAAACCTGCTCTGGTTCCAGTCCAAGTTTGGGAGAACGCACCAGTTTGTAAAACCTTTACTGGGAAAAGTGAGCAGCAGGAGTCCTTCATCAAACCTCCGCCGTTTGTCTTACACTGAGAGGATGTGCAGTAAAGCTGCAGCCATGACAAAGTAACTCTGACACCAGTTTAAATTATACTGAAGGCTGACAGCAGCCGTTACCTGCAGCACAGGGGTGGGTGTAAAGGGGGCCACGGGGTGCACCGGCCCATGTTTATTTCAAAGCTTTCGTAACGTTTTTCAGATTGAAAATGAAATATTATCAAAGAATGTCTTAATCAAATTAAAAAAATATAGAAATAAAAGCTAATAAAACTCATTTGATCTGACTGGATTTCTTTCTTCGGGGAAATGAACCAGTCGTAGGCAGACAGTTTGTGTTCAGGTGCTCACACAGGTGAGGCTTTCATCAGGTTATCAGAGCTTTTCCTGTCGTCTTTCTTCTGAATGAACACGATGAGCAGCAGATGTTTTACATGGTAAAACGTGCTGTTTGCTTTGTTTGAGGCCGCTGCTGTTCCAGACCAGTGAGCTGATCGCCAGCAGTCCAGCTGTCGGTGAACTGATTCCCTACAGCACCTTACTGCACTTCCTCTTCACCAGAGCCCCACCTGAGCTGAAGTCACCTCACCAGGCCTGTAGACACACACACACAGTTCAAGCTGAATCGTCCATCATCGTGTGGCACTTCTGTGTCTAGTGCACCATCTCAATAAGCCTGTCCCCCATCTCAATAAGCCTGTCCCCCACAGAGAGCAGAGTGGTCCATCGCCAGGTACTCACAGTGGCTGGATGATCATCCCTCTGAGAGAGACAGGCTCAGCCTCATCAGGTAGGCTCTGTGACGTAAACACACCTGTTAGAGCACTTAGGTAACAGTGGCAGCTCCTGGTGTACAGACCAGAGCTTAGATTACCTGATCTCAGGGGGCTTTAGTGTGATGAGTGAGCTCCCTCTAGTGGTAGACTGACTGATGTGTAATTTAAGGAGTCACTGCTGACTGCCAATAACTCAGCATTAGTTTGCACTACAATCAAATCAGATAAGAGTAGCATGACCAATATTTACACCAGCATTAGGTGTTGGGCTTGTTGTACTACATCGTGCATTTTGGCTTCAAAGGAAGACGTAACATGAGATCAAACATTTAGTTTGACCTTGAAGTAGTGAGAGGTCCCCGTGTGATCCTTACATGCTGCCAGTACAAACAATGTTTTAAAGGGCTGCATGCTGCATTATTATCGCCTTGACCTTCACGTCTGTCGACATCGAAGGTCAGAGGCCAAATGTGACACGTGTTAAAAATGCACACTGTTCTTGTAAGAGTCGCAGTTTTGAGCCACCGACTCTTTACACTGACCTTGAACACCTCGCTGGATACACGTCAGATATGACAACTTATTTCTGCGCTGTGATAACAGATGTGCTCACTCTGTCCTCTCAGGGGCGCTCTGGAGGCCTACGTGCAGTCAGTCAGGCTTCGGCAGGGGAAGGAGTTCGCCCCCATCTATCCCATCATGCTCCAGCTGTTACAGAGGGCTACCAGCACCTGACAGGACCTCACAGCAGCTGCTCGGTGTTTGGGTCCACAAATAATCTGCTCATTTTTTTAACACGTGTGGTCCAGGGGGCGAGAGAGTATTCACAGTAAAAGTAATCTCAGCAGTAACAGCAGAGAGCCTCGTCCGAACCACAGAGGAGGACGACGCAGCTTTCTTAGAACAGACTTGCTGATATTAAAGTAATAATTTGTGACACACATCAAAAACTCATCTGAATAAAGGCAATATTTCCAAAACTTTAATGCAGTACTTCATTGAAAGCACAGTATGACAGGAACACGCAGACTCAGATGGGCCACTTCCACTGGTTGGGCGGCGGCTCCTCTACCAGCGGCTCCCACGGCTTCCACTCGGACATCTTCCTCGATAACGCCAGCTCACACTCAGCCTGCACGCAGGAAAAAATCATCAGCCACAAATACTAATGTATACACCAATACTGTAAACTATACTTTAGTTAAGACAACAACTGCGTTCACATATTCAGCGAGACCGTCCGGTCTTTATGAAGGCTGACGGGAACCAAACGAACACATCAGTGATTTGATGTCGACTGTGAAACAAACAGTAACTCTGTACTACGAGTGTGTCAGCTACTCTGGTGAGAAGAGCGCTCAGAATAAAAGAGGCTGCAGTCTGTACCACGCGCTCATTTAAAGACCTGGGAGCAATACAGTACTACCAGCAGCGTATGAGCAGCCTTCAAACCACAGTCGGAATCACTTTAATCCAGGGATTCAATTTTAATCCCTGGATTAAAGTGAACCAGAATGATCTGGACCTGCGCTCCAACACCTCCCGTTACTAAGCTTGTCACTGTGTTCATGTATGTAGGCTATATAAACATGACATATGGGTGTCATACACCCCTCTGCACTCGAGCTGAACACAGAGTCATGACTTTTTAGGTTTGTATATGAAGAGTTTTCCACTCAGCTCCATCACTTTGATCAGAGTGAGGCAGACTGACCGACCTACCTGGAAAATGACCTCTTCAATCTGACCGCAGTTAATTTTCTTCTCCAGCTTCTCAACATCGGGCTCCTGTGAAGAACACAAATCCTGTCAGTTCATCTAAGCTCCTCTGTCATTCATCTCCTGTCTGCTCACACACTGACCGTTTTCACGTGGCTGAAGCGCTCATTGACCAGCTGCTCCGTGTACTTCCTGTAAGCAGCGTCCTGTGGCATGGTCTGCAAGGACGCCAGGATCTTTGTGTAGAGGATCCTGAGACGCTGAGAGGAACAGCACAGGGTGAGTACACTGCTCCATAAACGGCACACGGATAACAGGAGTGTGATCCAGGACTAGTCTGGTCAGTCGGGCGATGGGAAAGATTAAAAATGAGGTATGTGGTGCAGTCACCATCAGCTGCTCACCTCCTGTGGATTTTGAGACACTGCCAGGCCAACCAAGCCGGTCGTCTGGAAGAGAGGAAAAGGAGAGCTGTCCAAGAGTGGCTAATGTCAATGCTTTCACCTTTAACCACGTGACTCCAGCCTAAACAACCCTCAGTCTGCTCGCACTGTCAACAACCAGCTCCACAGCTGGTTTTATGACTTGGAGGAGACACTTGTGGTTGTTAATCACCTCCAACAACATTTCCCTGCTAATGTGGAACTTCCTTAAAAACATTCTCTGAAATCCATCAGCCCTCACCTTCAAATATGTGCACTTTATTAACATTACAGGCAGGTTTTGCACTGAGCAGGGATTTTATTTTCCAGGTCTCTTGGTCCAGATTTGGGTCTCCAGTTAGCCATGTAAGGGAAGTGTGGCTTAACCAGTCTCTTCAAAAGCTCCCACGGGTGTTCGGCTGACTGAACCGTGGGACCGGATTCAAAGTGTCCGGTGAGCTTTCCTTTAGTTTGCCACCTGCTCTGACCGGACACTGCCGTGCTAGCTCCTTATCAAGTTAGCATGCTAGCACAAGCTAGCACAACATGCACAGCGCGCAAACGGAGGTGATCGTACCGTCACCTTAATAAAGCTAATACCGCTGTTTTATTGTGTTTCTTACATTAAAACAAGACATGACCTTTACTCATACCTTCTTCAGCAGCCCAGCCATTCTCCAGACGTCAGGAATGCGTCATGATACTTCCGGCTGCTAAATATGACGTCGGTGTTGTCTTTTTTTTTCTCGGCGTTTTGAAAAACGATTTGTTCCTGTCGTAATAAAAATTAGAAAACGCGAACTGTTCTGTGATCACAGCAGCGTAAAACTATATACATGCTATGTATTCACGCTAGCATCGCATAGGTCGGATGTAGGTACAAACATCTGAACGTTTTATCCATCAGACTGAGTTTGCATACTCAGTCTCAGGATGAATTTGCTCGTCATTTTTCGTTTTTATGGGCCGATGGGGTTTTATTTCTTTTCTTTTTCGCCTCTGTCAGTGCGCCCCAGGGCAGCTGTGTGTGTGAATGGGTGGGTGACTGAATGTAGTGTAAAGCGCTATATAAATGCAGGGCATTTACCATTTTTAACGGTATAAATGAACGGTGGTGGATTGGCCAGTTGGTCATGATCGACTCTGGGCTGGACCAATTACAGCCGAGGAGGTCGAACTTTAAA